TGTTGGCCTTGTGCCTAGGCAGGACTAGAACTCACAATCTCCCAGTTTCTAGCCTGATGTCTTAACCCCTACACCAAACTGGCTCTCCCCTTGGAGTCCTTACCCGTTTTTTTTTTCAGTAGATACATTTTAAGAAGGATATTGATAAACTGAAACTATTCTAGGAAACGACAACCAAGAAAGCAAGTCTTGTGAGAAACAATAGGACTTGACTGTGATTATCCTAGAGGAGAGAGAGAGTTACGAGAAGACATTATAGGTGTTTTAGTTAACTAAATGGTTGCTATATAGAAGATGTAGGATGATTCTCTGTTGCTCTAGAGGACAAGTCTAGACCAACATTTCAGGAAAGCAGATTTTGGCTAGGAGAAAATTTCCTGATGTTGAATGCTGTTCACCAAGACAACAGATGTTTTCCCTAAATAAGAGGTATTGAAGCAAATCTGGATGGCAATGTGTCAGAGATGCCATAGTTGCATTCTGCATAGAATAGGTGAAGAATATGTAGGAAAACTGAAGGATTTTCTGTATTTAAACAAGCTTCTCTTCTCATGTTAGTTTATTTCTTAATTATATGTGAATATTTGCAGACATAGACTGTTCATATTTTAAACAATTTATGTGACACTTTGAATGAAAATAATATGAAATACATCATATCCTTTTCCATTTGGGGTGGGGGAAGAATGAAAGACTTGGGAGAATGAAAAAAAAGCAGTACTTTTTCCTGAATTTTCCCCATTATGTTCCTCTTTTGAGATTGGAGAAGCAAACAAAGAATTGATTTCACATTATATTGTATTATTGTAGTAGATTGTATTATTGTTGTAAAGTTTTAAATTTATCATATGCCACGTGTGGGATCCAAAAAGGGACATGTGGAAAAGACAGTGGTCCCAATCTACTTCTACTTGGCAATCCCAACCAGAGATGCCACCAAGCCTCACAAAGGATATTGTAGATCTAGAGAAGGTGTAGAAAAGGGTAACAGAAATTATTAAGGGCAACTCATCTATGAGGAAGGCTTACAACATTCTTCTCCAACCAAGTTGCCTTTCAGATAGGTGATTTCAGTTTGACAGTACTACCGTATTGGGAATAATCTCACCTATAAAATGGGAATAACCATATCTCCAATCCCACACAGGGGGTTGACAGTGTATGTTATTGTGATGCTGTTGACTGCTCTGTTCTTCAGCCCCCCCCTCTGGTCACATGACTCAGGGTGTTGCTATTAAGCCAGTGTTGTCCAAACTTGGCCACTTTAAGATGAGTGGACTTCAACTCCCAGAATTCCCCAGCCAGCCAT